AGTGGAAAGTGGCTCCTGTGTGACTGTGGTAGTAATTTGGCTCTATGACCCCTTAATTTGTCCAACATAATCTTGCTGGGGATAGGATGGTTAATGCAAAACTATAAAACAAAATAATCTGGATACTTTTGTAAATGAGGTGTTGATCCTACAGCCCCCAGAATTTAACTCACAAAGTCTCAGTCTTACATGGTTCTTGGTGTTCACTGGCAAGAGTAGACTAAATATGCTATTTAATTGTAACATGTTTGTTAAAAAAAGGTCTAAGCCTTATCAGAAGACTCATATACTGCATACAACATCCAGTTCAAAAATCAAGTCCTTCCTGGACAGTTCCTGGATTTACCAAATGGAATTTGATCTGGATCTTATTCATTGCCAATTACCTAGTAATGCCCATACTCGCCAAGAGCTTTCCTGGGAGAGAAAGTCCTCGATCGCGGAGCATGCGTCCTTTCCAGCTGAGCAGGAATCTGGGGTGAGGTGTTCTGGTTGTGGACCACAGATCTCAAGGTAAGAGGTCAGCTTCATTATTCACTGCGTTCCTCAGAACAGTCCACGTTCAGCAAATCCCAGGGGATGAGAAAGGGCTTTAGTTCTTCTGGTCTTTCAATTTCATATTAACTTCCTGCTCAGAATCTTAATCGGGATAGCAGAATATTTTAGGCAGCCCGTGGAGAGTTTATGCTACTCAAGGCTTTCCCCACATTTGGCAATTAAATAAGCTAAAATATGCACGTTTCCCTGTTGTGGGGGCTAAGTAGCCTCTGCCTTAAAGGAGTCAGCATAATCGGCTTTGATCAACACCCACTGCAACGGGAGTAGAGATTTTGCATGCCCAATACGACAGGGGTCGGCGAACTCATGGGGAAAAAGGAGTGAAAACCAACGGCACTCTTCCCAGGAACATTCTGAAGCTGCCTTCCACAGTGACTCAGAGTTATTCTCTGGAGGGCCCTCTGTCCCTCCTTTCCTGAATAAGCTGCTGAAAACTCAGGGGTTCACAGCTGGAACAAGAGCATGTGCCCACACCACTCTGAGCAAAGTGGAGACTGCACATGAACCAGAAATATGAGGAAAACAAATAGGAAAACATGTTTACATCACACAGCACTATTGGTATCTTTTAATATGCCTCATCAAGGGTGCATAAAATATAGCTAATTGAGATCTTTCTCAAAAATATAATCCCCTCACAAAATAGAACAAGCTGCTGCTAGTGTGGGGAGCTGCATTTAAAAATATAATGTGCACTTACATATGCATAAATCGCTAGAGCTGAAGATGCCTTCGGATAGTATTCAATTTTCCGACATAAATGACCTAATAGTGCACCTCTTAAAATATATCTTTCAAGCAGTCTTGTGCATTTAGGTGAAACTTTCCCCTTGCAAGAGAAGCATATATTTTACAAAATCGCAATCATTTTCATCCCTGTAACTTGGTTGTGGGCACGTTGTTGCATTATATTTTTGGAAACACCTATAGGAGCTGGGAGGATTTAAGAATTTCCATTACAAAGAGGAGGAGAGAGCATCTAATTTTCCTACAGGTGTTAGCACAAAGCAGTGGAACTGTGCCTTTTGTGACCTGCAGTAAAAATTTTCAATACCTTGTAATCAACCCGTATTTTTTCATTTTTTCTATCTGACTAGAAGATTCTAAGAGTCTTGCCTGGCAGACTAATTTCCAGGATGAAATCCAGGCAGCTTAGAGAAGTGGGTCTGAGCAAATCTCAAACCTCCTTTTCCCCAGGGCAGAACCAACAGTCTTTCTTTGACATCACCCCACCCACTTATCTTCACAGTCATTAAGGGAGCACAGCCATTACAAGTGACCGTGCCCCCAGGTGAGGCAGGCAAGAACAGGTAAATCTGAGAAGAAGAAGAAACCCCCAACGGTTCTGATTTTGTTTAAAGCAATCCCCATCACACCCAGGTCTTGCAAAACACCCTTCTCCTGGCCAGCAAAGTCTCTCCTGGTGCATGTGGGGGATCAGGGATGCAGGGTGTGTGCTGAGTACCAGGAGGTGCTTCACAATGCATCTTCTTCAGCTCTGATTTTTCCCTAAGGCTCTGCCTATTGGGGAAAAAAAAGGGGGGGGGGAGATGTTATTGCATTGCATTGTCATGCAAATCCACCCGGTGGCAGTGACATACACATACAATGTTTTAAAATGTCAGGAGCAAACAGTGGAAATCACTTTCACAGAAGCTCAGTGTCCCCTACACAATGGGCCCTTTTTCTGCTCCCTGCCAGTCCTGGTAACCATTAATCCACTTGCCCACCCTGTGGAGAAAGATGGGCCATCTGCTCCCATAGAGACAGACAGCCTCGGAAACCCTTAGATTGAGTCCAAAACAACTTGATGGTGTGGGTTTTGGGGGGCAGGAGGTTTATTTCATGTAGGTGGGATCACAGATATTTGTCTTTTCATGACTGGCTTATCTTACTCAACACAATGTTTTCAAAGGCCCCTTACATGTTGCAGCCTGTGTCAGGAGTCCATTTCTCCTTACGGGTACTACATCAGGATAGGTCGGCACCGCATTTTGTTATCCATTCATCTGCTGACGACAACGTGGCTGTCTCCACCATCTGGTCAGTGCGCGCACAGCTGCAATGGCCACTGCTGTACATGGAGCTGGGTGCATTCCTGCCTTATGCTTTGGGCGGGCCCTGCTCACTTCTGAGGCAGCACAGTCAGCGTCTGCACCACCCTGTGCGGGTCCTCCACCCTGCTTTCCCTGTCCCTCGCTTCCTCCATCACCAAGCCAGGGCGATTAAAGGTACTAATTAAGTCTGCGTATGTTTTCTGGTAGGGGTCCTGGACATCTTGTGGTGTGTGCTGCAGAGGGAGTCGGAAAGGAAAAGGAAAAAGGCTGTTTTCTGTCTTTGGAATGCATCACACCCTGTGGTTGCTCTGTTAAGGCCTTACACTGTATGGATGCTACTGTGTAATTAGAATTTTCTAAATAGTTTTAAACTGACAGCTTTCCTGAAGACTAGTAAGGATATATGAGTCAAGCTTATTCATGAATGTCTGAAAGTAATCATATCTTACTTTACCATCTTCCAAATAGCGTAATACTAAGGTGTACCTACCTGCGCACAAAGAGAGCCAGTTGCTAGCTTCATTTGAAAAAAGCACTGGTCTTTGTTCCACGAGTCCTCTGCCTGCCCAAGGTATCTCCCAAGACTTCCCAAGCTGGTAATTTCCCAAAGAAGTCAACCGTGTTGACCACTGAATCTCTCTGGCCTGTCCTTAAGGAGCAAGCATGAGTGTGCCCTCGAGTCAGTTCCAAAATAAAACACATGCAATATACATACTACTCCCCAAGAGTCTACTCCATACTCGAAGAATATCATTTCAAACTGTAAACAGAAGGCAAAACTTAAAGCGTACATCAAAGCACCAATGTAAAACCCAAAGGCTCAGAATTAGGAAGAGAGGCTGCATTCTTTACAAAGCTATTCTTGCTTTTCTCACATAAAGACGAGACAGGAGTTGCTATGCACCCCTCAGGTCCTAAGATAGATAGAGCCTGAGAGGGGGCCACATCAGCCTTATAGTATGGATGTCCACTCTACTCCCATGCCTTCCCACCCAGGCATTTGAAACAGGGCAGAATTGGTGGGGCGTGCCCCCGGGTCCTGACTGTTTTGAGAACAGTTTACTGAAATGATACATGCTTACTGAAATGTTCACTGGCACGCAAGCTAGTTCTAATATTACAGACACATGCCACACGAGAATGCATATTTTTTAGATTATAGGTTTCCTGAGAAATTTATAGACTTTTTTTTTAAAGAATGAAAATATCAGCCTGCAAAGTCTCCAAGGAGTCCTCCTCTTTAGGGGAAATGAGGACGAAGACAGAGCTTGCACAGTAATTGTTTAAAGGTTCTTAGATAATGTTGGATTATCCATTAGTTTCTCCAATAGAGCTTTTCAAAAAGATAATTCTGGACTAGTTAAAATTGTTGGAAGAAAAGTGTTATAAAAATACCGTCATTTTCATGTAACAAGTGTTCGAGCCTTCTAGCTTTATAAAGATACTTTTAGGAACCTTTAAATATTCTATGTGTGGGCTTTACCTCTGCTTAAACCATATGCATGGAAACCACCCACAACCATCTGTGGCCTTACTGATGTAAAAACAAAGCGAGATTTCCACATGGGCTGTGCACTGCGGGTGCTACTGCGTAATGTATATTATTGATGGTCCCTGCCTTCCTCCCCCTGGTGTTCCAGAAATGTGGCAAATCCTGGGCAGCCTCACAAAAACCTCACACCCACAAAGTTCCTTGTAATGTACTTTCATTTTAATTCACTGTTAAAAACAGACGCTTAGGAATGCAGCCTTAATTTGAAATACAGCCAAAACCTCAATTACTAGATATAGAAAGACTGTAAGAAAACAGACCAAGAGTGTTAATGCAGTTTATTTCTCAATAGTGGGATAGGAATCGTTCGTTTCTTTTTAACTTCTGGATATTTCCAATTTGTCTAAATGAGCCTAGGCTAATTTCATAGTCAGGAAAAATTAACATTTTAAAAGGGGGAACAATGAAGTACTAATTTATTTAATGTACAAATGCGCTCTTCAGTTTTGAAAGTGAACCCGTGGGATGTGTCTCAAAGGTGTGCTAACATACATCCTCTCTAGGTCTCAATATTATGAAGGCATGGGTCTTCTAAGCTCTCCAAATGTGATATGGTAAAGTGGATTCAGAAAACATCAAGTTATAAACTGCTGTAGTTTTGCAAAGCACCTCCCCTCCAATGTAAGTTAACTATACAAAAGACCCTAAAATATGGCTTTGATTTTGCTATTTAAAAAACTGTAATGCAGCAGTTCTCAACCTTTGGGTTGTGAACCCTTTGGGGGTGGAACAACCCTTTCACAGGAGTCACGCAATTCATAATTACAGTAGCAAAATCACAGTTATGAAGTAGCAACGAAAATAATTTGATGGTTGAGGGTCACCACAACACGAGGAACTGTGTGAAAGGGTCGCGGCACGAGGGAGGCTGAGAACCACGGATGCAAAGCAATGCAAACTTGGGATTTTAAATAGTAAGCGCCTGCTGCTTTTTGCCACCGTAAGTTCTTCTTCAAAGGAAAAGGCTGAACCAGAGAAACACCAATACTCAAAACCCAGGAACAATGAAAAGTTAGCCCGGATGAAGCAGGGGGAGAGTGTCTTCTTTGTGTGTTTCCATACTCTTGCTGGTTGCCCTTGAGTGATTCTGACTTACAGCAACCTCACTGCACAGAGAACCCTCAGAAGGGCTTCCTGGCTGTCCCCTGGATGGAAGCAGACCACCAGTGCCTCCCTCCTGCAGCTGGGTAGGGCTGAACCGCCGAGTGCTTAACCACGGGTCGCCAGGGCGCACCCGAGACAGCCTCTGTGCACTTGAGAACCCCAGACTACAATTTTAGGGACTATAAAGAAACCCGCCTCCCAACACCTTCAACTCTACAAACAATGCAGGGAAGATGATTTTTTTTTTTTTAAGAATAGAATATTTACCTTTGATGCCAGCTGCGATTTCAGGCCCAAGAATGAAAAGACTGTGTTGCTTTCCTTTGATTCGAAAAAGCTGTCATAGTCCTAGGGAAAATGGAGAGGAGAAAACACATCAATAAACAGTGGCAGGGCTCATCTCTGCCTGCGGCGCTTTCCGTAGCGCATGCTGGACGAAAAGAACGCCCCTTTGTTCATCAGGCTAGGGCTCTCCACACCTACTGAGTCTATTTTGCTTAAATGTAGATCTTTGTATTCTGCCTAAGCTTAAACCAAACCTTTCACCCTAACCTATGAGTTTACTCTAAAATGTAAGTATGGAAAGCTAATTTCCACATCTAGTGTTACGTTTGTTGTTGCAAGGTGCCACCTAGCTGGTTCTGACTCAGAGAGAAACGATGTCAAACAGAATGGAACACAGCCACCAATCCTGCACCACGCTGACAAGCATGCCCATCTTTGAGGCCACTGTTGCAGCCACCAGGGTCAATCATGTCCCCGAAGGTCTTTCTATTTTCCACTGACCCTCTACCAAGCATTGCATCCTCCAGGGACTGGTCTCTCCTGAAAACATGTCCAAAGTACATGAGCTGAAGACTTCTCATCCTTGCTTCAAAGAAGCACGGTTCTTCCGAGATGGACTTGTTAGTTCTTACAGCATCCCATGGTATATTTTATATTCTTCTCCAACACCATCATTCAGAGGCTTCTTCTCTGGTCTTCCTTATTCACGGCCCCATAAGTCAAAGGAATCAATTCTTTCTACAGTTTTCCTTATTCACTGTGTGGCTTTCCATACATATGCTGTCACTATCGCTGACCTCTGTGGATTTCTGGGACGGTAACAATTTATAGGAGTAGAACGACCATTCTTTTTCCCACAAAAGCTGCGTGTGGTTTTGAACTGCTAACCATGTGGATTGCAGCCAAATTCCTAACCACACCACCCGGGCTCCATCCAATATGAGGAGACTGGAAATACCCAGGATGGAGCCAGGCACATCAAAGTGGCATATTTGCTTTTTAATACGTTAAAGATGTCTTTTGCAGCAGAAAAGACTAATGCAATACATCTCTTGATTTCTTAATGGCTCTTTCCATGGGCGTGGATTGTGGATCCCACTAAAACAAAATCCTTTACAACTTCAATCGATTCTCCCTTTTATCAGAATGTTGCTTCTTGGTCCAGCTGTGAGGACTTTGTTTAAGCTGAGGTGCAGCAGAAACGTGAGGTGTAGTCTCCGATCTTCACTAGAAAGTGCTTCAAGTCCTGATTGTGGGAAGGTGTGTCACTTGCCTATCCAAGGCTGTCAAAGTCTTCTTCCGATTCTGATGCTAGGTTCTTCTTCATGCAGTTCAGGTGAATGAGTAGCTATGGGACAAGGATTTAACCTTGCCATACATCTTTCCTAATTTTAAGCCATACCATATTCTTTTGTTCTATCTGTATCACTGCCTCTTGGTCAATGTTTCGGTTCCACATGAGCACAAAGAACTTTTTTGGAATTCCTATTCTTCAAAGAGTTATCCATAATTTCCTATATAAGGATCCACACAGTCAAATGCCTTTGCATAAGCGATGAAGCACAAGTAAACGTCTTTCCAGTATTCTCTGTTTATAGCCAACATCCATCTAATGGCCCTGTTTCACATTCTTTCCTGAATCTGATTTCTGGCAGTTCCCTGTTGATATGCCATTAAAAAATATATCTTAAGCAAAATTTTACTTGCATATTCTATTAATGATACTGTTCAATCATTGCCACTCTGTTGGATCACTTTTTTTTTTGCAATGGCTACAAATATGGCAAAGATGAGTGACTGCTTCCAGTGCTGCATCAGTCTGTTGAAACAATTCAATTGGTATTCTATCAACTACTTGTTTTCCACTAATGGCTTAGGGGCAGCTTGGAATTTTCCCTTCAATTCCATTAGCTCTTGAAACGGCTAATGTCAGCCACTTCTTTTGGGTACAGTGACCTGTGTATTCCTTCCACCTTCTTCTATTGTTTCCTATATCATTTAATATTCTGTCCATGTAATCTGTCAATATTGCAACTGGAGACCTTCATATTTTCTTCAGTCCTTTCAGCAGGAGAGGCCCTAGGCATGTTCTTCCCTTTTGATTTTCTAACTCTAGATATTTGCACCTTTAATTATAATACTTTACTTTGTCTTCATAAGCCATCCTTTGAAATCTTGTGTCCAGCTGTTTTACCTCCTCATTTCAGATGGAATAATAAGATCAAATAAAAGTAGGAAATTATATTCTTATAACATTTAGCTCTGGTCCAAATACAAATATAGAATCTGTCTTTTGCTCTTTATCCTTTCATAAGAAGTACTCTTAATGAATTCTGCTTCATCAACTGTTTCTATTTTTAAAGTTTGTGTGTATATATATATGATTGCACATTTTCTAAGTTGATGAAAGTAGTCTTAAAAGTATTTGTATCACTTTATTCTAAAAACAGTATCATAAACAGCTAATGATCATAGGCACGGTTAGACATTTGCTCTGTGCAGCTACTTTCCAAACATGTCATTTAGTTTCCACCAGTTAACCAAGTTTTGGAGACTGGCTTTGTACAAAGAACTGTGTTACCCAAGCCAGTAAGCAGAGGTGTCACAACGTGAACTCAGGTTTCACTGATCTGGAAATTGTTATTTTTGCACTCTACGATGTATTGCTATAAAATCATAGAAACTTTTATTAAAAATACATCACAATGTGAAGCTACTCTTTCTCAACAAATCCTTCCCCTCTGGGTGATTATAATTCTGAAGTCAGGGTTATTATCTCTTATTAGCCCTGAGCTTTTTTATTAAAACAACATCAAAAGGGCAGTGTAGGCTTCCTTGAAGAACTCAAATAATGCTCCTTTTCAACATTCTTTGAGTTTGAGGAACAGAAAGAAGCTTGTAAGCTTGAAGGAGTAAGGGTTCCAATAACATTCCCAGAATGAGCAGGTGAATTGTCATGATGGGAGAAATACTGCAGAACAATTTTTCCGGCCTTTTTCTCAGTTTTCAATATTCTTCAATCTTCTTCTTAATAAGCCCCTGTGATTGTCTTGGGCCTTTTGAAAAAAATATATTAAGATTATCCCTTTGGGATCCCATAAAACAATCATCATCACCTTCTGAGCTGACCTCTCTGCACTGACTTGAACTGGCCTAGTAAGTGCCCCTGGGAAAGATTGCTTGGTTGGGTCTTGCCTCTGGATCATATTGATAACCCCGAGACTCATCCCCAGTTAAAATTTCTTCCATTACAGTCATTTTCATTAGCTTTGATCTTGCTTAAAAGACGGATGGGAAGAGCAGCATTTTGAGACGGCTGGTCTCTGTGCAATGCTTTGTATGGTGTCCCCTTTATTCGAAGAAACACTAATGAGACTAAGATAAGTGTATTACTTGGAAAACGTGTCTGCTGCCATCCACCGATCACAGACACTCGTTTAAACTGGTTTTGTTGGAATAAGCTTGTGCATGTATGAACTATTACCCAACCCCAGGAACAAGAATGTCTGGCTACTCTTGTACCACTTATCTGCGCTTTACTCAAACGGAGACAGAGAATGAACAGACTTCTGAATTTAAAATGTAGTAAGTTTTATAACTGAGTACAAACTGTATTCAAACTTAAATCTCCTGAAGTTTGCTTGTATCATTTTTCGTATTTTCCAGACATTTACAAACTGTAATAGTTGAAAGTGTGTACCTTGAACGCTGACAAGACTTTAAATGTAAGTCATCTGGACCTCTGCATAAACTACACTGCCTCATTATTGGTCACTAAAACAAGTACCGTACATACTCGTGTATAAGTTGAGTTTTCCAGCACATTTCTAAAGGTATACTGAAAGTTTATTTTAATATCTTACAAACATATAAGGAATGGTGATTGGTTCAAGGACAGTCCACATTATAATAATTTGCTTTTCGGAGGATTATTATACCTAACTTTGTCTCTGGTTAATTTGTACAACTTTAAAACTTTTAATGTCCAGAAAATCTGTTATCTTAATTTTTACTTTTTAGCTTGTCTTTCATATTTTATGGATTAATCCAATCGAGAAACAGATTAACTTAGGATATGTGTGCTTTCTTTTTTTTTTTTTAAGTCATTTTACTGGGGCCTCATACAACTCTTATCACAATCCATACATCCACCCATTGTGTCAAGCACATTTGTACATTTGTTGCCATCATCCTCAAAACATTTTCTACTTGAGCCCTTGGTATCAGCTCAGTTTTCCCCTCCCTCCTTGCCCCACCTCCTGCACAAACCCTTGATAATTTATTATTATCTTGTCATGTCTTACACTGTCCGATGTCTCCCTTCACCCACTTTTCTGTTGTTCATTCCCTAGGGAGGAGGTTATATGTAGATTATTGTGATCGGTTCTCCCTTTCTACTCCACCTTCCCTCCACCCTTCAGGTGTCGCCACTCTCAGCACTGGTCCTGAAGGGTTCATCTGTCCTGGATTCCCTGTTTCCAGTTCCTATCTGTAAATCCTCTGGTCTAGCCAGATTTGTAAGGTAGAACTGAGATCATGATAGTGGGGAGAGGAAGCACTAAAGAACTAGAGGGAAGTTGTATGTTTCGTTGGTGCTACACTGCACCCTGACTGGCTTGTCTCCTCCCCATGATCCTTCTGTAAGGAGGTGTCCAGTTGCCTACTGATGGCTTTGGATCCCTACTCCTCACTCCCCCTCATTCATAATGATATGACTTTTTCTTCTTTGATGCCTGATATCTGATCCCATGGACACCTCATGATCACACAGGCTGGTGTGCTTCTTCCGTGTGGGCTTTGTTGCTTCTCAGCTAGATGGCCACTTGTTTATCTTCAAGCCTTTAAGACCCCAGATGCTATATCTTTTGATAGCCGGACACCATCAGCTTTCTTCACCACATTTGCATATACACCCACTTTGTCTTCAGCGACCGATCGTGTTGGGAAGGTGAGCATCATGGGATGCCAGTTTAATAGAACAAAATATTCTTGCATTGAGTGGAGGCCCAATGTCCATCTGCTACCTTAATACTAAACCTATAAATATTTGCACATAGATCTAA